CTGCTCCCCGTATCCCACTGGTGCCAGGGATGTGTCTAGGGAAGGGAATACGGGAGCCCAGGTGGCACCAAGATGCTGCCTCTGGGTTTGAGGGGATAGAGGGAGGTGGCACCCTAGTTTCTGCCCTTACGTATTGTCCTGGGCCTTCACTCCCCCCACCCAGGAATGGAGGCAAGTCTTTGGAATGACTCCCATCTATGTATGGGCCAACGCTTGGAAGGGGAGCAGAAAGCGGGTAGCCTTATTAAAGGAGAAACTTGGGGCTGAGCAAACTGGGCCCCTTTGGGCAGGGAAGGAGAAGGGACAATTCCTGCAAGAAGAAAATCAGGCACACTGGGAGCTCTGTTTCGTGAGGGAATGATGCTCTTGTTATTATAGAGGTTAATAATGGTAATGATCTTGAATGGCTGGGTCAGTCCAGAGAGACTTAGCTCTCCACAGTCCTTTCTCATGGAAGCTTTGCTGGAGAAGTCAAGGGGTCCCCAACTTGGTTGTGGTTGAGGAGAATAAAAGAAAGACCTTCCCTCTCTTTCCCTGCCCTTTCCTCTCTGACTCCTTGAGGACTCCAGAAAAAAAGGAACCTTATAAAATCCCCCTCACCTTCCCCACCCCCAGTAGTTTTCCTCTGCCCTTTCCAGTTCACAAAAATGCACTGTCTTTGGGAGGTGGCTTTCCTGGGGTGCCCTTATCATGAAGCAAGCCCTTACCAGTCCATGTCCCCAGGAATTCTGTCTCTGACCCTGGAGGGGAGAGACCCAGGATTCTCTTGCCTGCTTCATGGAATTCTCCCTCTATCCTTAGCCTTTCCCAGTCTGCCTTCCTTGGTCCTGGGTGCCTGATCCCATGGGTCTCCGGCAACCCAGAAGCCAAGAACAGCCTGGGGCATTTTGAGATGCCCTCATCAAGCCCCTATCATTTCCTTAATGCTGGGTTCCCAGCCTCCTATAATTTCTTTAATTCTGGAAGCACCAGGCCAGGGAGCCCTCCATAAGCTATCCTAAAGCCAGCCTAATTCCTAGAACTTTCAAAACTGCATTTCAGCTCCTTTAAAAGTAAAAGTCCTTTCCCCCTCTAACAGGAAAGTTTAGGTTACAAATCTCCAGCAGCGCAAGCTTCTTGAAGCCTAAGTCAGAATTTTCAAAAGCAACAACAATATTAATAAGAAGAATTAAGGCTTGCATCAAAGGGAGAAAGGGACACCCCAGCTCAAGTTTTAAAGGGGATATAATCCAGCAGCCTTAGAGGAGAGTGGGGTGGGGGGGTCAGTGAGGCCAGGATGAGCAAGGAAGGGGGTGGGGAACCCAACCTCTAACTAACAATTTCTCCAGCATAAAAATGAAACATCAAATTCGTTAGCCCAGGGCCTTCATTTTTCCCCTTCCACATTATAACTAGTTATTGAACTCGCTGGAAGATCTAAAGGCCATTTGCGAAGAGACAAATTTCAATGGAGTTTCCCCATCAATAACCCCATGGCAGTGACCTATTGGAACAAGTCAAACACCCGAGGTGAAATGCAGGTCACTCTGTCTAACCAATATTAAAATGCGGCCACTTTTTAAAAAGCCACTTTAAACGAGATTTGAGGAAAATTGAATTCCAAGGGAGGCCAGGCAAGGAGGGGGAAATCCACGAGAGGACCTTGCCTATGGTCTCTCAACAAACAAGAGAAATTCATCTTTAATATTTTAAAGGGGGGCAAATTAACATTCCATGATTGCTTTTCTTTCTTTCCTTTTTTTTTTTTACTATAGGCAATTCCAGGAGGGGAAAAAAAAAAGGTTTAGTATTTTCTGGTGACATGTCCGGGTTATTAAAATCATTTTAGACCAATTCATTACTTTTACTGACAAGAGATTTAAGAAAAAATCAATTAAGCATTTGCATATTCTTTTGCATACATTACCTCTGCCTGCTGGCATTAGAAAGGGACAAAAACACCCATCTATACGTACACGCACCGCAAAAAATGTGATAGAAGCCTTGCTTTAGTTTGGGGTTTTCAAGTTGCTTGGAGAAAAAATAAAAATGAAATGAATTACTTGATTGCATACCATCTGAAAGTCCAAAGGAAGAGGAAAGAGATGTGTTGTGATTTTTAATCTCTAAAACAACAACAAAACCACACACACACACACACACACACATACACCCCCCACACAGTCCTGTACTTCTGAGAGTAGGAGAGGGAATGACCCTCATTTTCCTTCTCTTTGCCCTCCAAATCCTGAGTGGGCTCTCCCATTTATTTTTCTCCCTAGGAAAATCTAGGGAGTGTGAGAGGTGAGATTTTAATGCAGCACAGAATGTGTGGAGCCGCCGAGGTCCCTCAGCCGGCTGCTGGTTACTGGGGAGGGGAGGAATATGGGTTATCCAACGGTCAGTATGGTAATCCGGGCACAATAAGGCCTCGCACACAATGGACACATATTTTTCTTCAGTGGTGTCAGAAGGGAAGCGCTTTGTACTGAAACATGTTTCCGAAAGAGAAACCAGATCGAGATTTAGAAAGGAGATGGGGAGGGGAGGCATTCAGAGAGTGTTTGGAAGCTGGCAAAAGGTGGTCAGAAAAAATAAAAAAGAAATAAAATTGGGGCAGAGAGAGGTGGACGGCAGAGCAGGGGTGGGGGGGGTGGAGACCCTCGGGCTGGCAAGGCAGGGACAGGAGGAGGGCAAAGCACAAAAGGAGACAGGACCGGATACAAGGGCTCAGATACACAGGCAGGAGCGGCTTCAGTACCCCCCCCCCCATAAAGCCAATGATAAGTGCATGAGCTCTCCAGAGGGGTTTCATTTCTGTGGTTGTAATAATATCCAGGTGAAGATGTTTGCATGTATGTGTATGGTGGAGTCTCGGCTGGCTTGCTGTTTTCCCTTGTGATAGGCGACTTTCTTGCTATTAAGCTATAGGCACCCAGAAAGAGTTTCATGGCGAATGCTGTAGATGAGTGTGGGCAAATTTGGGGGAGTCTCCCAGATTTCACTTTCTGGAGGTGCATGTTGAATTAGCCGTGCAAGTGTGGAATGAGAACCCCACATATTTCTGGCTGCATAAGGAGGCATCTAATGTATGAATAAGTGTCAGTAGTATGTATGCATATATGTGTTTTAGCAATAATAACCAAGACAGACTTGACATTCAGCTGGAGGCAGCTGAACTCTCTGTATCTACTTGTACATACTGGCCCAAGGTGGGTTTTCTGCTCCCGCTCCTTTGACCCACCTGCAGACGCTCAGAATCCTGGGGAGTAGGGGTGTGGGACGGGCAATGCCTTGGGAAGAACTCCCTAAGAATCTTGAGAAGGTGAAGAGATGGAAGAAAAGAGGCTTGTGGCGGGGGCAGGGCTGGTAGAAGGTGAATCTAGAGGAGCCAGGCCAAGACCTCACCTTTCCAAGGTGGGGAAGAGAATATTCCGGGCCAGGACTGGGTGGGGCAATGCTATCCGGGTGCTGGCCTGAAAGGGAGGTTGGGGGTGGGGCTGGAAGGCTTCCTCCTCCTTCAGCGACCCTCCCCCACCCTACCTGAGCTCCCTGGAGCTTTGACTCTCCCTGTGGGGCAGTCTGGGGCTGCGGTTCAGACCCTATGTAGGCAGCATTCAGCACTGGTTTCCCTTTGCCCTCTTCCAGCAACTTATGATTAACCCGCCCTACCCCCAATAATGACGACAAACAAAACCCCCCCCGGACTCCGCACCACTGTCCCCCAAGCAGCAGCCTTCTCCCCCTCACAGTCTCGCGGTCCCCTTCCAGCCAAACTGGCCAGTCCTCTCCCGCAGACGGTCCCAGACAGGACTGGGCAGAGGTTCTCAACCCACTTGGGAAATGTGGGAACTCCTCGAAGAGATGGTGGACCTTCAGGGAATTCCTGTTTCCTCACCCACCTGGTGGGAGGGGGGCAGAGCACTGTCCTCTCGGGGAGAGGGGACCCAGGGGCCCCCAAGCACTGGTGAGCCTGCGGTGAGGGGGGACTTGGCATGCCATTGGAGGATGGAAGGTGGCCAGCGGGCCCAGGCGGTTCTCATTCCTGCCCTTAGGGTGAGCCCTAATTTGGAAGTGGGGACCCCCCTCTCCGGCATCCCTAAGGCAGTGAGAGATAGGTGGGGAATCTCCTGCCTTTGGTCTCCCTCTCACGAGAGAGCTTTATTTTTTTTTTTCTCCCTTTCCCCTCCTCATTCCCTTAATTGCAGATGTTCTAATTAAACCCTCAAATAGTTGTTATGCCGTTTTAAAAGGTACTTATTCAAGTGTCAACCAGGCTGGGCTGGGAGGAGGCAGCGTAGGGCGGCGAATTAAAGGTAGATTGACTAATCACGGCGGCGATCATAATAATAAAATCAGAGGGAAAAAAATCACATTACGACTTTTCGTGGAAAGGAGGGAGCAGGCAGCCAGCGGCCGCCAGCCCTGCGCCGCCGCCGACACAAAGAGTGCGGGCGATTCCGCGAGACTGATTTATGACGTTTTACAGCCCTATAAAAGCTGGAGCGACGAGGCAAGCGCTCCTACCACCGCTGGCAGATTTAGTCTAATAAATAAAACATAAACAGTTAACTTTATGTGTCACTTTTATTGTTATCAAGTAAAATATAGCCGAGCCCCGGCAAGCTATGATTTTAAACTATAATTGTTATCAAGTACAACAAGGGGACCCAGCTCCCTCCCTGGGCTCTCCCTTCTGCCACCCCCCAACTCTGAGTTATGGGATCAGCTAATTGGAATTGGTGGCACGGCGTGGCCACCCCTGGCTGAGGGGGGGGCGTCGGAAAAAAGCTGCTGTTGCTTACCCCCTCCCTCCTCCATGGCGCTGCCACCCCCGCCATCGGGGTGTTCCTGTGGGTGGGCGGCAGAGCTGGGGGAGCGTGGAGGAATGGACTGGAGGCCCCCAAGGCCTGCCCGGCCTCCTCAGCTTGGTGAGCTCACCCCTCAGCTTTTGGAAGGCAGCCTGGAGCTGGCCCTTGGGAGTGTGTGTTTACATGTAAACACATGTGTTACATGGATACGATCCCTGGCCGGAAGCAGGCTCTACCCACACAGGCCTCCCTCTCAGTTAGGTCGGCCCACTGTGGGGACGAAGAAAGAAGAGCTCCCAGGGCCTTGGCTGGGCACTTTCACGGGCACGGACTCCTGGCAGATCCCTCTCCTCCTCGACCCAGGTCCGTAGGAACCAGTCCTGGAGGCAGTTGGAAGAAAGCAGCAGGCCAGACGGAAAGAGCGGAAAGAGAGTGGAAAGAGCCGCCAGCCAGCGGTGGAAGAAATCCTCTGCTCTGGGGCTGGGCAGGGAGGGTCAGTGGGTACTAGGGGAGGAGGGCAAGGCTTCTGAACTCTGCTTTTGCCAACCACTTCCTGTCTCTCTTCAGCGGGGGCTCAACCCCCCAGACCTCCAGAAATGACGTCAGAATCATTTGCATCCCGCTGCCTCTACCTGCCGGTCCAGCTGGGACCCTGCCTCGCCGGCCCCATGGCCAGAGGGTTGGGTGAGTGTGTATGGGGAAGGGGGGCTGGACTCTGGTATCCTTGGATGGGGGGCACCTCAGGCTCTCCAGCCTCCTGGGCCCAGCCTGGGCCCCTCCCCATCCAACCTCCACTCCAGTCCTCCTCATTCAACTTCCTCTTCCTGCAAAAGAGGGGCGCTGCCCGGTGACCTACACAGACTGAGACAGGATCGCCATGAATGGAGGAGACCTCTGGAAAAGCTCAGGAGCCGAGGCCCAGGGGGCCCACCGGAGGCCCAAGGGGAGACCCCGGGAGGGGGCTGAATCACCGCCTCCCGACGGCCCCCCAGTGCCCGGGCTTTGGAAGGGAGCTGGGGGCTTCCCATCTCCTTTCGCAGGGGAGGGTTGTCAGTCGGCGGAGTGCGCACTGGGGGCACCTCAGCCCCCGCCAGCTAACCCCACATCACCACCACCACCACCCCCAGCACCACCACCACCACCACCACACACAAAAAAAATTGGATACATTTTGAATAAAGCGATTCGGTTCCTTATCCGGGGACTGGGTTGCTCCGTGTGATTGGCCGGCGGAGTCACATGGTGAAAGTAACTTTACAGGGTCGCTAGCTAGTAGGAGGGCTTTATGGAGCAGAAAAACGACAAAGCGAGAAAAATTATTTTCCACTCCAGAAATTAATGATCATGAGCTCGTATTTGATGGACTCTAACTACATCGATCCGAAATTTCCTCCATGCGAAGAATATTCGCAAAATAGCTACATCCCTGAACACAGTCCGGAATATTACGGCCGGACCAGGGAATCGGGATTCCAGCATCACCACCAGGAGCTGTACCCACCACCGCCTCCGCGCCCTAGCTACCCCGAGCGCCAGTATAGCTGCACCAGCCTCCAGGGGCCGGGCAATTCGCGAGGCCACGGGCCGGCCCAGGCGGGCCACCACCACCCCGAGAAATCACAGCCGCTCTGCGAGCCGGCGCCTCTCTCAGGCGCCTCCGCCTCCCCGTCCCCAGCCCCGCCAGCCTGCAGCCAGCCAGCCCCTGACCATCCCTCCAGCGCCGCCAGCAAGCAACCCATAGTCTACCCATGGATGAAAAAAATCCACGTTAGCACGGGTAGGCAACTTTGCTTTTTGCTCTCCCCCTCCCTCCCCTCTTCCCCAGCGCTCCCCACCCTCCCCGGCCCCCTCCGGCCCCCGTCCTCCTTTCTCTCCTTCCCCCTCTCTCTCCAGGAGCGACTCTGGGTTAGCACAATTGAACTGGATTTACGAGCGAGAATGGGTAATTACATCCCCCATAAATTTTATGGCTTAGCTACTCTGGGCAGTCCGAGCCATGTGCTACGATCTGTTATGTATGTGTGAAAACTATGCTCGCTTTCTAAGGGCGCATAAATAATTCAGTGTCGTTACAATGAGGATTCCCCTCTTATTACACTACAAAGTCTCCCGCTTCCTTCAACTTCTTTATAACCCATTTAGCTTGATGACTTTATTTCCACCACCCCCTCCTCCTGTTCCACGGAGCTGAGGATGGGGTGAGGGTGGGGGGCGGGAGCCTGCTGCCTCTGAACCCCACTATTTGCTTTTCCCCTCCTCCTCCCCCCCAGTGAACCCCAATTATAACGGAGGGGAACCCAAGCGCTCGAGGACAGCCTACACCCGGCAGCAAGTCCTGGAATTAGAGAAAGAGTTTCATTACAATCGCTACCTGACCCGAAGGAGAAGGATCGAGATCGCCCACTCGCTGTGCCTCTCTGAGAGGCAGATCAAAATCTGGTTCCAAAACCGGCGCATGAAATGGAAGAAGGACCACCGACTCCCCAACACCAAAGTCAGGTCAGCGCCCCCGGCCGGTGCTGCGCCCAGCACCCTCTCGGCGGCCACCCCGGGCACTTCTGAAGACCACTCCCAGAGCGCCACGCCGCCGGAGCAGCAACGGGCAGAGGACATTACCAGGTTATAAAACATAACTCACACCCTGCCCCCACCCCCATGCCCCCATCCTCCCCTCACACACAAATTGACTCTTATTTATAGAATTTAATATATATATATTTTTGGTTCTTTTCTCTCTTCCTCCCACCTTCTCCCTTGTCAATTCCAAACTGACGAAACAGATAAACAAGCCCTCTGTCCTTCTCTCCCTTCCACTGTTAAGGACCCTTGTAAGCATGTGATATTATCTTAGCATGGTACCTGCTGGGGTTGTTTTTTTTTTTGTTTTTTTTTTTTTAAGGCCAATTTGGGGGGTTATTTATTTTTTAAGGAAGAAAGCTGCAGAAATTATATATTGCAAGGTGCGATGGTCTGGTTTGGGTGAATTTCAGGGGAAATGAGGAAAAGAAAAAAGGCAAGAGAGATTTTTAAGCCAATTCGCCTCCTTCTCCTCCTCCTCCTTCCCCCCTCTTTCCTTAGGCCTTTTGCATTGAAAATGCACCAGGGGAGGTTAGTGAGGGGGAAGTCATTTTAAGGAGAACAAAGCTATGAAGTTCTTTTGTATTATTGTTGGGGGGGGGCTGGGAGGAGAGGGGTAAGACAGCAGACAAAGCTAAATGCATCTGAAGAGCCTCTCAGAGCTGTTCAGTTTGAGGAGCCAAAAGAAAATAAAAATGAACTTTCAGTTCAGAGAGGCAGTCTATAGGTAGGAACCCCCCCTCCCACCATCGTGGTTATTGTGTTTTTGGACTGAATTTACTTGATTATTGTAAAACTTGCAATAAAGAATTTTAGTGTCGATGTGAAATGCCCCGTGATCAATAATAAACCAGTGGATGTGAATTAGTTTTACGTCAATGTCTGATGGTTTCTTTTTATCCCCCTCCTCCTTCTGGCCTGGTAACGTCCCACCTTCCCTATAGTTGCCTAAGTTTACTCTAAGCAAACACACACACATCTTAACTCACAACTCGGTTTCCAATGTCCTTAGAAAGCACCAGCAAGGGGGCTGGGGCAGGGGATCCTCAGAAGAGGGCATATGGAGGGCTGATCTCTCCTGTCCCTTCCCTGAGTCTGCAGAGGCCAGACTCTTCTGGGGGTACTTAAGAGTGGAGCTGGGGGGGTCTCACTTCTCTATAGTTAGGCGTGGTGTCTTCTTTTTTTGTGGCTCTCCCTCTCCCCTCTCCTCTTTTCTCTCTGCTGAGTAGGCCTGCCTGATTTGCAGACAAGAAGGCAGGTTTAGGGAGTAGTGACGGAGAAGAGTTTTCATCTTTTAGGACTCCTTGGGGATGAGGGGTTGAGGAGGATGCCCCCTCAGCATGCGTGTGCTTCTCAAAAGAAGGAAGATTTTGAGCTGGTGCTTCTGTAGCAGCCAAACGAACTGTCAGGGTGGCTTCTCTGTTTGTTTAGACTTGGAAAGCAGGGTGAAGTGGAGGCCAGAGGCCTAGGAGGCCCCCGTGCATGGGTAGGCCTCAAAGCCTGATGCCTGGAGATAATGAAGAACTTTTATTTTTCTCCATAACTTTTATCACGGACCTCCAGGTATTGAGAAAAGACACAGGGAGAGGCAGGGACCACCCCTTTTCCTGTAACCTCCCAGGTCCTGGCAAGGCTTGAAGTTAGCTGCAGCAAGACTCTCCGGCTGTTAAAAAAAATTTTTTCCCCAGTGGTTTCCCTGAGGCTAAAAAAGAGAAACAAACAAACAAACAACAACAACAACAACAACAACTGGTCCGGATTACCCGAATAATTAATTTAAACCAAAGGCTCCCAAATAATCCTGATCTTGAAGACCAGGCCCTAAGCAAGGCCTGCTCCAATTTTTGCTGGTTTTTTGGGAGAAGAGGGGGTGGTTGTTGGTGAGCTTCTCAGATAATGTATCCAAATTTCCGAAGAGAGGGCTCCCAGAAGTAGAAGAGAGAGGGAAAGGAGGTCTGGGATTTGTAGAGACGCCAGGGGACACCCCTGTCCTCTCTCCCCAAATGTTGGGGTGAAAGGTGACAATGGGACCAGTTGTGAAAATCTGTTGTTCGGTGTGCTGTGGATTTATTTCCTCTTGAACCACTTGCTGGCTGGTACTTGGAGTGGAGCGTGTGTGCGTTGCGTGTGTGTGTGTGTGTGTGTGTGTGTGTGTGTGTGTTGGGGGGAATCACTTGGTCCGGGAGGTCTACTTTCTCCTCCCTCAATGGTGCCCTGGAGACAGCAAAACACGCTGCCTACAGTGTGAGGAAACGAGGCCAACAATTATCTGGAGTTATTTTATGTGATCAAGTGAATTAGGAGCCAAATCTGACTGTAGCTCCTATCATCTTGAGGCAATTGACTTTGGGGCAGGAAAAGGGGGTCTCACTGTGCTTGGGAAAAGGGAAAGAAGGTCTGTGCGGGGGGGGGGGGGGGGGGGGGGGGGGGGGGGGGGGGGGGGGGGGGGGGGGGGGGGGGACTTGGGTGTCTTTTCAACCCTGTAAGGAAGTTTAAGTGGAAGGGGGAGGCGGGGAGAAAGAAAAGGAACTTAAGATCCACAGTCTTTCCTAACTTTGCTTCTTTGGTTTTAGAGGAATTTAATCCCCTCTCTTCCCAAAAGTGGAAGAGATGAAAGCAAGGAGGAGAAAAACTCCTACCTTTTATTTCTTAAGCTTCTTCCTGAACTTGCGGAAGGGACACTGTCTGGCTCGGGAAGGCATCCGGAAAGCATCCAGAAAGGATTGGGAGTGTTCTTTTATTTCCCCTTCTTTAGGGGCTTCTCCCTCCTCTCACACATGCTGTACACATAGTTGTTCTCTGTCCCTCTTGGTCTGAAAAGGGGAAACATTAGAAATCCGTAATTCTTGACCAGTGACACAAACCAAAACCCCCTTACATCTCTGAGTTTTTGAAGATTTTGGCCTCTGGCCTTCCCTCCAGTGGGCTCCATTCTCTCTTCTTTCCCCAAAGCTCTCCTTTCCTTGGACCTGAAAGCCCAGAATGGGATCAGGGTGCCGAAGAGGGATGGGGAGGGGGGCGGTGAGGGCCATGGAGGGCTGACCCCTGGGCCGGGCGCCCCTAGCTCCAGTGGTCTGGGTCCCTGCTGCTGCTCCACTCAGAGCTGCTCCAGCCTCACTGGGAAGCCGAGGGCTGGAGCTTTTATTGAAGTTGGGTTGAGCAGAGGGGAAAGGCTGCCGGTTGGGGGGGTGGGCGGGGGTGCGGGGAGGACGCAGCCCAGGTTCACGGGGAGGACACAGCATTTTCTCTCCCATCGCCTTTATATTCGGCAGCGCCTCTGACCTCTCCCCCACCCCCATCTCCGACCCTCCCAAACCAGCCCTCGCTCAGCCCCTGATCTCCAGATTAGGATGCCACTGCTTTTGTAGGGCTGGAGATTTCTTGCCCAGAGTAATGGGAGAGGCAAGGCGCATGAATGGCTGCCAGCGCATTGTAGCTCTCTCTCCAATGGCTAAGTTAAAAGAAGACGGGGTGGAAGCGGCAGCGCCAATCTTCCAAGGTCCTTCTCTCCAAGCACCAGGAGATCCCCACAGGTCCAAAATCCCCTTGACATGTAAGTAGTTAGCACTCGATCTGCTCAGGGCAAGGAGTACAGCACTTTCCACTCTCTCTGTTTGCCATTCAGTTTTTAGCTCAACTCCCGATCTTGGGGAGTGAAGGCGGGAAATCCAAGCCTGAATGGAGCGCTTCCGCTTGGGGAAAGTGGAGTTTCCTTGCCGAGTCGCGTACCTAGGGAGTGAAGAAACTTCGTTCCAAAAGGAGAAGGTGGGGAGGGAAAGTGAGCCTGGGGTGGGGGAAGGACTGGGGAACTTTACTGCTCCGAGGGCCTCTCTGCTGTTGCTTGCATGAAGTTTCCTACAAAGTTTTCTCTGCAATCTGTGCATCAGCTTCTTTTTTTTCTTCCATGCGTGGACTTAGCGGATTGCCGTGCAGAGCCGCCTTCTGCTGTGAGATGGATGTGTATGTGTGTGTGTTTGGAGGAGTGGTAGGGAAGATAAAACAAGGGGTTCTCAGAGCTTGGGGACCAGGGTACTCTCTTCTAGGCACCATTTGTCTGCTTGTCCAAATGATTAGGGGAGACGGACTCCGAAGGGAGCCCTTGAGATGGAGGGTGCTCTCATGGGAGGAGCAGCGTGCGGGTGCAATTCCACCATCTTTTCCTCTGCTTTTTGCCCAGTCCTGGGGGAGTACGGTATTGCCCTCACAAAGCTACTCCTTGTGGTTTTCCACAGCTTCTATCTGGTACCCCAGCTTCAAAGAGCTAATTCTAAGAGACCCTTTCCAGGCTTGGAGAAAGAGACAGAGGATTCCCCCAACATCAGTGGCCACCAGAGCAGAGGGGATATTTATTACCTCTCTGGATATCATTATCTAAGAATACAATTTTATGAACTTCCTAATCTGTTAGCTTGATTTATCTGATGGGCAGAAGCCCAAAATAAACATTTGGGGGATCTGGTAGAAAAAAAAAAAGAGTCTTTGCCTCTGACCAATCTTTCTGATAGAACTGATCACTCCCTACCAACTTGGCCTGCTTCTGCTGCACCCCACATAGCTAGCCCCATTTTAATTTTTCTCTGCAGAGCCTGGCTGTTTAGGATATCGGAGTTTTAGCTGCCTCTTGGGCATTAAAAATGGTAGGGCATGCTGTGTGAACCAGAGACCTGAAGGGGTCCCCTAAGCCACCTTAAAATCTGTGTAGCTCCAGGAGCTCAGATCCCTTTTGGATTTGATAGCAGGGAGAAACCAAGGTCTGCTCATCTGCCCTCTAGGTCAAGGAGCCCCTTCTCAGACCTGGCTCTGTCTCCACTCCTCAAGATTTGTCTTCTCTCTGGCATCAGCTCTGTAGCTTTTTTTTTTTTTTTTTTTTTTAAGGGTCCATCCAGAAACGGAGCCTAGATCCATGCAAACAGGGTCAAGGGCCTCCGCAGGTCCATCTTCCTGCCTCCCGGTTCCTGCAGACCCAGCTAGCTGATAAATTGGGAAGCAGGGAAGACAAGGATGGGTAGGGAAGGTCTCCCATGTCAGGGTGAATAGGGTTACAGAGTCTAATAAATGGAAAGAACTATTTAAAATTTCCAGTCCCCATCAGCAATTGCCAGCTTTCCTAAAATGTAGGGTTCTCGAGGGTCTGTTCTGCCAGCCGTGATGGGTATGGGTCAAACCCAAAGAAGTGTCACCTCTGCTCATTCCTCCTTTCTGACCCTCTCTTCCCACTTCCAGAATCAGAGAGGGCAGTATATTTGAACTTCCGGGGGAGAAGCCTTAACACCGAGGAGCGTGCGGGAGGCGCTGCCAAACAGTTCGATCCTCGGTCCCCGCTGCCTGCCTCTGGCCTCCCAGGCAGCCTGTGCGAGAGTGGGGCACAGAGAGCGGCTGCCGCCACCGGGGGTCCCAGCTCCCTTCTGCAGGGACCGGGGTCCTGAGGATGGCGAAACGGGGCCGGCCCGGGCAAAGGTGAGGTGCGAGTGGCCCGCAGCGGCCCGGCGCCCCCTCCGGGTTCCACTCCACGGCCGCCCCGGGCGCCGTGTCGCCTTCGGCTGGGTCATGACCCCGGGCTCTCGGACTGTGGACAATAGGGCTCTGGGCAGGGGCCTCGGGCTGCCTGGCCGGCGGAGCGGGTTCACTGCGCGGTGAACTCCGCTCCACCTCCAGGGTCTCGCCCTTTAAGAGCCCAGGCTCTCCCTTTTCTCTCCTCATTTGGCCTTCATTTTTTTTTTTTTGGTGGAAAATTGAGCACACTCTCAATTGCTCCTCGACCCACCGACCAATACCCCACAGTTACCACCACCGAATAAGCTTTCATTTTCTCTAGAAATGAATGCATACTTTTCTCCCAGTGACAAGGGTGGGGAAGTGGGACCCTCTCAAGATTTTTGGTGGATGCGTAGAGAGAAGGATCCCAGGTCGTCAAACCAGCAAATGGTCTCCTCCATCACAGCAATTCCAGGCCATGAATGGGTCCTCCCGGCACCTCCACCCCAACCCACAGGAAGAATTGCTTCCCTCTTCCGCTGGCCTTTGTCTCTGGGCACCAGATTAGGATTAGGGCTCTTATAAAAGGGGGAACTCGCTCTTAAATCTGACGGGGAAGGGACAGAGCTGGGTGATCCACGGAGGGGGTGTGTGTGGGTGCGAAGGGAGTAACTTGGGAGATATCCCCCAACCGGCTTTATCCCCCCTCCCTGACCTCTCCCCATCTCTTTGATTGTCTGGCTCTTGTTTGTGTCTCTGTCCCTTTGGTCAGTTGCACGGTGTTTGTAACTTGGCGCGTGTGGAGTCCTTCCTTTCAGCTAGAATAGACCTTGAAAAATATGGTTGCAGAATAGCGGTTGGGTCTAGCTGGAGGCAAAAAAGGAAGGCAGTTTGGTGAGAGGAGAAAATGGGGGAGGTATGGAATATTCCCCATGTGCATTCGCTCCTGTCTTTCCCCAGCTTCCCACCTCAAGCCCTCTCTTGCCTGAGCAAGCTCAAAGGTCAGATGGAGAGATGCCCTCCCTCCCACTCGGAAACCTTTCTTCTTGGACTCTGTCTCTCTGCCGATTTCGACCCATTTTGCAATGTGACTGCCTGCAGCCCTGCTTGTTGTTGCTCCGCTGTTTCAAGGGCTCTGCCTGGCATCTCTACTGCTTTCTGTGCTCCGGGTGTCCTCACAGCCCTGCTCCTCTGCCCCTCGCATCATGCAGCAGTCAGCCCCAGGGCTCCTCGTAGAACTCCCTTCCAACTGAGAAAGCAGAGAAGAGGTACCAAAAGGTGGGTGGGGGGAGGGGGAGGGCCGCAATCTGGAGGGACAGCTGAGGTTCAAAGGTTCCTGGCCGAGCCTCCAGTCCAGGCCACCTCAGGGGCCGATCTGACCGCTCCAGAGCCAGCAGCAAATAGAGCGAGGTTTTACAGCCTGGGCAGATGTCAGCCTAGCCAGCTCACTCGGATTCCCCTTTATCTCCTTCACCAAAGAGGCTCCAATCCCCACTATATCTTTGTTCTCTTTTCTTTCCCCCCACCTCCCCCTCCTCTTCCTCCGTTTGATCCTGCCTTTCCCCCTCAAATTATTTCTTTAGATCTGGAAGCATCTGTTCCTGCCTGCCCTTCCCCCCAACACCCTCCTTTCCTCCTTTTCCTCCTCCCTCCACTTTTGGGAGTCAAAGAAGCCCCCAAATGGAGGGCCTCTGGCTTCTAGCTGGCTCTGCTACCCCAGGGCCCAGAGACCCGTGAGGCCAAACCTTGAGAAGCTTCCCCCACCCCCAGTCACTTGCATCTCACCCTCCCAGCTGGAGAGGGCCCTGGAATGGCGTAGTCTGAGTCCTTCCCCCAGGGACCAGGCTCCTCTCTCGCTGGGACAGCTACCCATTAAATGCAGGTAAAAGCAAGGTGTTTGAAGTCGAAGAGTTTGGTGCAGGTTTTTAAAATAATTGCCCCAGTTCTCCGGGGGCTGTTTTGGGCTCCAGAGTTTGAACGTATCTTGATATCCTGACCACAGAGGGGAGGTGGCCTTTTCTAAACCTCTCTGCCTGGTCATTCTTTGTCATCCTCTTCTGTCCCTTCTTTTGATGGCAGACTCATTTTCCGAGCCATTAGAATGCCCCTCAAGAGCTCCCAGAATTCCATAGCCCAAACTGAGGAGACCAAGGTGAGGTCCACCCTGTGCACCTCTTTTCTCTGCCTTCCAAAAAAGAAAAATAGAAGAGAAAAAAATGACTCCCTTACATCCTCCACCACTCATATGCAGGACTATTTGGTCTCTTATGGAGAGCATGGTAAACCCAGTCAGGGTAAACAATAGACTGTCTTTTCCTCTCTTTGTCAATCCAGTTGGGTCTCAGTCCAGATAATTCAGGCCAAGACTCTTGAACTCTGCCTGGGAGACCTGTCTTTAGCAAGAAGCCACTTTGTATCCCAGAGCGCCCGACTGGAATAATCCCTAGGTCCTTGCCCTAGCGCACACAGTGGAAAGCTGGTAGAAGAGCATAAGTCCCCTCCTCCCTTCCTTCCCTCCAGCTCCATCCTGAGATATAGCCCTGTCTGGCATCCTGCTCCCTCCTCTGTCCTTGAAGACCAGTGGTTGGCCAAGAGCCCCAGATTCATGCTCCCCATGGCTTGCCACTCAGTTTCCATGGCAATGAGAGGCAACTGAACTATTCCCCCCTGTCCCTCAACTGGTTGGATAGACCTATACCAGCCAGGGTGTTCTCTGGGGGAACTTGACCCAAGCAAGATACAGGAGGTGGGAGTGTGTATTTTGTTGTGGAATTTTTGCTAATTAGGACGGAAGAGGAAAGCCTGGGAAGCGAGTCCCTCCCTCCAGCCTGTCATTTCACACCGTCCTTTCTCTCTGCACACGTGAGACACACCCTCAAAACACGCCTGACAGATTCATGCTAGGACCTCAACACATTCGTTTCTTCTGTTCCTGCATGCGTGCGTAGGTGACTTTGTGGAAGGTGTGTGCGTGTGTGTGTGTGCGCGCGCGCGTGTGTGTAAAGGTGATTCGTGACAGACAATGACATCCCACCTAGAGCGCCTGTGAAGGAGATTCTTTGACTTATCCCTGGTAACAGAGGCTTTTGCTGTCCCCTCTTCCCCACACACTGCTCAGATAGGCTTGCTCCTTTACTGAAGACCGTGTGGCCTGAGGTCTCACCCTTGATCCTGCAACATGGCCCCTTAGGCCTGGGGTGGAGTCAGAGGTCTTAGGACATCTGGTTTCTCACTAAATACCTTCCCTTCTTCAAAGTTAAATCAAAACCACAAACATTTATCTCACCCTCCAGACTGCACTACTCTGCCCATAGGCAGGACCTAGGAGACCACCGCCACACAGACAGCTGCAACTGCAGAATAGCTCTCTCCTGGGGTTGCTAACTGCCTCACGGCGGCGGCGTCGGGGGAGTAAGTGGGTTAATGTATGAAAAGCACTTCGATGAGTGCCTGGTATATAGTGAGCTTTCAATAAGTGCTATTCTCCTCCTCTTCCTCCTCCTTCCTATGATTATGATTATTATTATTGACAGTGATAACAAGCATTTTCTTAAGTGCTTACCATAGAGCAGGCACCGTGCTAAATGTGTTACCTCACTCGAGCCTCACAACAACACCGTAAGGAGGCTGTTGTATTCCCGGTCTATACAGGAGGAAGCTGAGGGAGGCCCGGGAGGCTATCTGGGTCAGACTTGCTGGACTTCTGGAGTGGGTGCTCTGAACTCGTTCAATTCCTTGCTCGTGATGGGCCTTCAGGGTGGCATGAGTTTGGCAGGGAGCACTGGTGAAGGGCAACGCCAGCCCGAGCACAGCCAGGGCCTACAGGAAACTGGCTTTTGCCACTTGGCTTGTTTTGGCAGGTTCTTGTCATTAACGGCAGGCCCTAACCCAGTGGTTCTCAGAGTTTTTGGCCCTTACACTCTTGCACTCTTTATACTCTTAAAAATTATTAAAATCTCAAGGAGATTTGATTTTATTTTAATTTTTTTAATGTTTATCCAGCTTTGAGAGACAGAGCATGAGCGGGGGAGGGGCAGAGGGAAAGGAGACATAGCATCCGAAGAAGGCTCCAGGCTCTGAGCTGCCAGCACAGAGCCTGATGTGGGGCTTGAACCCACGAACCGCGAGATCATGCATGACCTGAGGTGAAGTCAGGCGCTTAACTGACTGAGCCACCCAGGCACCCCTAGGCAAATCTCTTTAATGTCTGCCTGAATAGACAAGTGGGTTCTCACGCCTGTGTCCGCATTCAATTTGCTGCAATACATTGTTTTGGCTGAAGTATATGAAGTACATAGGCTCACACAGATAGGTAGTTGAAAGAGGAAGGACCTCTCTCAGAGCTCCTGAAAGGGGCTTCAAGAGCCCCCAGGGATCCTTGGACCACATTTTAAGAAACACTGATCTAACTGACTGAGCTAACCAGTGGAAGCCACTTCGTAACACTTGTACTGGACACCATTTCAGCTTAGTCGTGGCGCTTCTGACTCTAAAACCTATCATCATTTCACTATCCCATGTTATCTCAGGACTGTGTTATCTTAGGCAATTGATTCCATTTTTCTATCCCATAGATTAGATGAACAGATATACATGCGTACACACATACATGCTATGTATGTCATAGATACATATTCATCATTTTTAGTATGAAAATGTCAGGCAAAATATGAACTTATAGACAAACAATTGCCTTCTTGTGTTTGGCATTGTTTGAGACGGACAGCTTAGCTACAAATATCAGTCTTGTGTTTCAAGAGGAGAAACTAAGCCTTAGAGAATGAGGTGACTTGCTGAAGACCTGTGCTCTGCAAGAGGTGGAGAGTAGACTAGAACTCCTAGACCTGCACTTACCTACTCAGAACTCCCCTCTCTAGAGAAAGGGCTGTATAACGGGTGTACAAAAGGCGGATGTGTGCCATGCACAAACTGTTTGTGCAAGCATATGTGACGGTTGTATTTATCTGAACATACCTGCGTACGAGAGGAGAGAACTATCTCGTGCCTGCGTGCAGAGTTGCAGTTTTGTCAAGAGGTGGAAGGCACCAGTCTGACAATGTTTTTTCTTCCTCACCGAACTCTCCATGTGTCTCTGGTCCTGGGCTGGATCCATCCGTTGTTGGGAACGTTTTGTTCTTCCAGGTCCCCCGTTGGAACATTCTCACTGGGGGTATATGAATTGCTCAGATCTTCACAGGAGCACATAGAACAGATGTAACAGTCTGATCCCCTTCTTCCCCTCCCCCCACCCCGAACACCAGTTCTAACGCATCTTTTCAAAATAAGTGATCTACAAGCGTACAGCCATGGAAAGCATAGCCATGTGAACAGCGGTGTGTATATGTCTCTGAAGATGCAGGTGCGGAGCCCTTGGGCATCCGTATGCTCGTCTGGGTCAGCCTCGTGCAAATGTGTAAGCAAGTGGAGTTTTAGTTCTTTCATTAACGTGCTAGGTATTTTATTCACAAATTCTGTATTTCATGGCGGCATGAGGGTCACGTTTATGCAGGATCTAATGAGAAGAACCTTGGGTAAGAAGTCAGGCTGCCTGAATTCTAGTCAGACCTTGCTGCTCCCAGTCGCCTTAGGCAAATCCCTTACCCATCGAGAGCCTTTGCTTCCTCATCCGCATGATTGGGGGGGGAACCAAGTGTAGTCTCAGCTACATCTCTGGATGGGGAATGCAGTGGGAAAACAGTAGATGCCTGAGTGGACATGATTGTTTTTCTGTTATTGAGAAGTCCAAATACAATAGTACAGAAAGTGATATAAGCAGACACTCATTTACCCATCACCTTACTTTAACAATGATCAGCCCATGGCCAGTCTAATTTTATCTAGATCGAAACCCACAACACTACCTCATGTATTTTGAACAAATCTCAGACATCATGTCATTTCTTCTGTGAACAATTCAATGAATATCTCTAAAAGATAAAGCCTTTTTTAACAACATAACCACAATATCATTCTCATAACCACCTAGACAATTTTTAGTAAAATTAGTTAGCTTTTAAACAGTGGAGAAAGGGCTTTAACAGCTGGCTCCCCTGTGCCTCATGCTCAGAGTTGACGAAGATCAAAGGAAAAGGCAGAATGGCCAGGAAAGGATAAAGTCTCCTCATTTATTCCCATCTTAAAGTCCCAGTTCACCTTTGGACACTACCCTCCACTCATTAGGTCCAGTAAAAAATGGGCTGAGAGGGGACCGTGGAGGTCTAGAACTGGTGGAGGCTGCCAGAAGGGGCCCTGGAAGACATGGCAGACC